AACGCCGAAATCCGAGTTATAACGAAGAAGTTATGACCTGTAGAAATTTCGCGACAGAACTGGCACGATACTGCGCGATGTAGATAGTGAATTTAAGTTAGAGCGATATTTAGCCTTAGCAATCTAAACGAAAGTCATACATTTCGTTAAACCATGAGCGTGCATAACAAGAACGTCCAAATCTAACTTCGTATGACGAAGTTATGATTTTTCTAAGTTTCGACGTAGCGGTATCCAGCCCGAATACTCGATTTGAGACCGAGCGGTTTTTAGCCGAAACAATCTAAATGAGAATCGAAGGTCTCGTTAATAGGAGTAGAATGATAAAAAGATAGGCGAAAACGGACGTCGGATAAAGAAGTTATGATTTTATAACGGAGTTTTCTTGTCCCGGCCTACTAAAAATAAATAATAAAAAAAGTCAAAATTAGCCGACGGAGTCTAAACGAAAGTTGTAGAGCCTAGTCTCACCTACGCGGGGATATAAAGAACATCGAAAACGGAGTTCGTATGAGGAAGATATGAATTTTTGAAGTTTATTAAATATTTTCGATATTTAATTTAATTATAAATTAACCGATATTATCCATGGGGGGAGTCAGTGATCTGATCCACGTTACGCCCAATGTAAATGGGCTTCCAGCCCCCTATAAAAAGGTGTCAAGGGCAACCAACTTCTTTGCTTATTTCTTCCCGTTTTCTCACGTTTTTGCATCGTTTTTCGTGCAAGAAATATCCCGAATCCCCGGTATCATTCCCGAGGCCCGAAGCAAGTCCCGAGGCCCCGAAGATCCCGAGAAGTGCGATTCCCAAGCCGAAGATCTGTCCGCGAGGAGCCCGGATTTTGTGAAGATCTTCCAGATCTACCGAAGAATACTACTTCTACAAGTCGTAGTGATGTCCGATCATCTTCTAATTAAGTGAGTGTGTGGTTACCTTCTTCTAACGCATAATTATTAAGTATTTAATATAAAATACGTGTTATGTGTATATTTTGTTGTTATATGCGTGAATGTATATTCATTTTCTTCTATCTCATAGATCTGATTTATTCTCTATGAAATACGTGTTATGTGGATGTGCCTCATCTGTTATGTGGAATAGGTATTGAATGAGAATGCTATACAGGTTTTAAACTATGTATAAAAAATATATATTTTTATCTACTAATATGTTGGGTAGAACATGGGTAGATAGTTGATGTGTGATAAACAGATGAGAGGCCCCGATGTTGTTGTTGTTGATCTAGTTATTCAGCGAGTATGGATTAGACCAAGAGGTTAGTTTTAGATACGGGGGTATGGATCAGGTAAAGAGATAAAACTTGTTATTAGTCCGAGAGTATGGATTAAGACTAAGTTAATTGTCCCTAGTCCGGGAGTATGGATTGGGCACAGTTATTGATCCGGGAGTATGGATCAGATCAGGATTAAGGTATAGTTAATTGTCCCTATTCCGGGAGTATGGATTGGGTACAATTATTGATCCGGGAGTATGGATCAGATCAGGAGGTTAGTTTTAGATCCGTTAGTATGGATCGGGAAGTTTTAGATCCGTGAGTATGGATCAGGTGAAAAGGTTAGTTTTAGATCCGTGAGTATGGATCGAGTGAAGATAATAGTTTTAGATCCGTGAGTAGAGATCGGGTAAAGAGGAAAATTTTAGATACGAGAGTTTAGATCGTGTCGTTGTGAGGATCGAAGGGGGTGGGATAAGAGTTGCCTTTATATGGTGAAATTTTACAAGTTTGAATGTTCTATATTTATAAATATATGATATAACATTGTGGGATGAAAACCCTATATGCTCACCAGGCTCCCAAGCCTGACCCGCTTAGTTTTCTTTGTATCACAGGTATTAATACGAAGACATATTTCACAGAGAGATTTAAAGGTGATATAAATCAATTGTGTAATTAAATGTAAGTTCTGTTTATGCTTATATGTCTGTATCAGAACATGACATCCCGAGATTTTGTTATATAATGAAAATACATTTCTTTAAAGAAATGCTTTGATAATTTTTATCATATTTTGTTTTGGGAACAAATTCCGCAACTGTTTTCTTTAAAAGAGTACTCTGATTTTAAAAACAAGCATAAACAAAATCGGTCTTTTCTGGCCATGAAAATGGGGATGTCACAACAATAACCAATATTTCTGAAAAGAATGCGAGTCCAATAGTACCAATGGTTGAATCCGGATCTCTAAAATTTCCCTTAAAGTTTTATTCTGGATTTGTACATAACCTTTCTAAATAGGTTCTTCAAGTTCCTAATTTAGTTTTAAGGTTCTTCTACTTTATAAATTTATGTCTCGACATAACAAACGATTTAGCTTTAACCCAAATATTTGTTTTCGTTCTTCATTTCTATCTATACATAAAAATGGTCCATGTTAAGGTCAATTGGTGTAAATGGTCCCTATTTCATAACAGTTAACAACTTACTTACCATTTAACTTGTGAATCATTAACAAAAATTTATATACATTTTGTTTACTGATACATTTTTAATATAACGTTTATAAATATGTTCTCCAATTTCCTAATTTAGTTTTAAGGTTCTTCTACTTGATAAATTCATGTCTCCAATTCAAGAACCTACATGTACTTTTATTCGTTACTGATTATAGCAATGTAATTCCTGCCAAAAGAGCTTTATTTTTACACCTATATCATGGATTGTTCAATTTGAAACGTAAATATTATACAATGCCTAAATTGCCCCTCCATTATCAAGATAGTCTTTAATCAATCAATTGTAGATTTTACATTATTTCTGTATTTAACAAACTTATTTACTAATAACTCACTTAAACAAATGTTAACACTATCTATTCTATCAATCAAAATGAGTTAAATAGCAATTTACCTATATCACGATTTGTGTAATTAAAATAACTATATGTTTTGTTTTAAAATCTTTTAAAATGCCTAAAACACCCCTCTCACTATTAAGATGGTCTTATTTACTAATAACTCACCCAAATTGCCCTTAAAGTTTGATTTTGAATTTGTACATAACGTTTATAAATATGTTCTTCAATTTCCAAATTTAGTTTTAAGGTTCTTCTACTTGATAAATTCATGTCTCCAATTCAAGAACCTACATGTACTTTTATTCGTTACTGATTATAGCAATGTAATTTCTGCCAAAAGAGCTTTATTTTTACACCTATATCATGGATTGTTCAATTTGAAACGTAAATATTATACAATGCCTAAATTGCGCCTCTACTATCAAGATAGTCTTTAATCAATCAATTGTAGATTTTACATTATTTCTGTATTTAACAAACTTATTTACTAATAACTCACTTAAACAAATGTTAACACTATCTATTCTATCAATCAAAATGAGTTAAATAGCAATTTACCTGTATCACGATTTGTGTAATTAAAATAACTATATGTTTTGTTTTAAAATCTTTTAAAATGCCTAAAACACCCCTCTCACTATTAAGATGGTCTTATTTACTAATAACTCACCCAAATTGCCCTTAAAGTTTGATTTTGAATTTGTACATAACGTTTATAAATATGTTCTTCAATTTCCAAATTTAGTTTTAAGGTTCTTCTACTTGATAAATTCATGTCTCCAATTCAAGATCCTATATGTACTTTTATTAGTTGTTGATTATACCAATGTAATTTCTGCCAAAAGAACTTTATTAATACACTTATATTATGGATTGTTCAATTTGATACGTAAATATTAGATAATGCCTAAATTACCCCTCCACTATCAAGATAGTCTTTAATCAATCAATTGTAAAATTTACATTATCTCTGTATTTAACAAACTTATTTACTAATAACTCACTTAAACAAATGTTAACATTGTCTATTCTATCAAAAAAATCAATTAAATAGCAATTTACCTGTATCACGATTTGTGTAATTAAAATAACTATATGTTTTGTTTTAAAATCTTTTAAAATGCCTAAAATGCCCTCCCACTATTAAGATAATTTTATTTACTAATAACTCACCCAAATTTCCCTTAAAGTTTGATTCTGAATTTGTACATAACGTTTCTAAAAATGTTCTTCAAGTTCCTAATTTAGTTTTAAAGTTATTATACTTGATAAATTCATGTCTCCAATTCAAGATCCTATATGTACTTTTATTCGTTGCTGATTATAGCAATGTAATTTATGCCAAAAGAACATTATTTTTTATCTTATAAAATGACCAAAATGCCCCTCCCACTATTAAGATAGTCTTCAATCAATTAATTGTTGAAATTCAATATGGATGCACTCTATGTTGTTCTTGATTTTTTGTAATTTCATATTCTGGACAATTAATGGCATTTCACAAAATTTTAATTTAAGACTTTTATATTTAATATAAATAGTATTTGTTTGTATTTTAATTTATCAATGTTATATAACTATACAATAAATATACTTTTTATATTAGGCTACATAAAAAAAACTTTTAATGAAATAATATTTTAAAATTTGACAGACTTACACAATATGATAAAAATTAAATATAATAATAATTCATCATTATACCCACCATCGTTCAAATTGAACCTCCCCTATACCTGGGACGTAATCGGGACTGATGTGTTTACGGCGTGTGTCGATGTCTCTTCATCTCCGATTGATCATCCATTTAAACCCTCCCCGTATATGTAATTCTCATTCTTGCATTTTCATCACCATCAAAAGATAACTTCGAATTTCTCATCCTCTATGAAAAAAATCCCGCGAACAATGGTAACAAACATGAATGTCGATCCATGGGCAAAGTCGAGGTATCAACTATGGATTGTAAGCAGTGAGCAACCAAAAAACACACCGATTGTAGAGTGTTGCAAAGGAAACGACAAGAGGTTCACCATTAGAGTTGTCCATGGAGGATATTTTACTGATTATCCAGGTAAAGCTTATGAATAAACAAAAGTTCACTTTATTACTTTTGTCAACATCGATTTTCTTGACATGGATTTGCTTGGTATTTTTTCTAAAAGTTTGGGTTATACAACTATGGGATACTGGTATCATATACCAACTGAACAATATTTTGGTTTGTCAATGACTCCAATTTTGGATGATGATGCTTTGGGAAATTGCAAAGCAATGGTTAGGGCACATCAATTCCGTGAGATTGGACATCTGTATGTGGAACACAAGCCAATATATGTACCAACCAATTTCCCCCACTTCATGATGAACTCACCAGCCAAAAGTGTTGAGAAGCTTATTCATCTCTTTGTAACAGAACACCCAATGTCAACAGTTGATGATGGAATAGCATACATCAAGCATATGTTATTCCTAGAGGAAAGATGGAAGATGCAATGGACATGGCTAAAGAGAATGTTATTGCATGGAAAAACTTATTGTCGGTAACTGTTATCTTTTTTTTTTTTTTTTTGATGAAGTTACATATTTCATGGTTAAGACATTTAGTAATTATCTTTTTTATATTGGGTGTAATAGACCATCATAGTTTGTAACCACTTTGAAACTCATATTTTGTTTAATGAAATATATGATGTGTTTATATATTTTATGTTAATGCTCATGTAACTTTCTAGGTTTATCATTTTTGGAGTATAGTATCTTGGTAACTATGGATATTATATCACCAATAAAGATCTCATATATTGTTTTGTGTTGCTGATCTCATGAAATGGTGGAATTAAACATAATATTAATTATATATAACTTTCAGAATCGAGAAAAAGTTAACCAAATATTTTGATCTTTAAAGATGTCTAAAATGCCTAAAGTGCCCATCCCACTATTAAGATACTCTTAAATCAATTAATTGTGGAGTTTGACTATGAATGCACTGTAAGTTGTTCTTGAATTTTTGTAATTTCATATTCTGGACAATTAATGGCGTTTTACAAAAGATTAATAAAAGACTTTTATATTTAATTAACTTAATAAGTTATTTTGTTAATAATATCAATTCACCTCCTTACGGTGAAAAAGAAATATGAAAAAAAAAACATTCTTTTTTTATTAATTTCACCGATATTCTTGGATGATTAACAAGAATTTGTTTTAATAGTTTCAAATTTTCAAAACAAATTATCGTTCCCTCCACACAATTTCAAAATCAAAAGTTCAAACCTGAATTAAAAGATTATAAAATCCTAACCTTATTTTAATTCATTTCCTCTAGACGTCTTTGTTTTGCCGATAGTAGCTGCGTTTTTTCGTTCTTGATTCATGTTGTCCTCTCCAATTGACGATTACAGGTAAGCAAATCTTTATTTCTGAAAAATTGAAATTTCCACTTAATATTGAAGTCGATTTGTAATACACATTCGCATCCGGTCCCCATTTTTCTTACCTTAACACATCTTTGACCTTGTAAGTTTAAAAGATCAGCACAACAAATGAATAAGCTTTAACCCAACAATTTCTTTTCGTTCTTCGTTTCTATCTATACATACAAGTCCGATTGTAATGCGTCTTTGTGTTTCCGACTAACCTAAACGTTTGTTTTATCTTTTAACTAAAGAAAATTTAAATTTATGCTCCATGTTTAAGTAAAAATGTGTAAGTGGTCCCTGTTTAACAATAAATGACAACTAACTTCTATATTAACTAGGAAATCATTAACAAAAATTTATGTACATTTTGTTTACTTATATGTTTTTTTAATATAAATAGTACATAAAAAAATATAAAATGTATAAATGCAATCATATTTCAAAAATTGACCCACTTAAAAAATATGATAAAACAAATTCCAGTTATATATCAAATATTTTCATAATATTAGTTTATACTTTATTTTGCTTTAATTTAATCATACTCTTTATTGTTTATCATATTATCTTATAACTTAATTATTGTTATTTCTTCAGATTACATCATGAAGTCGTTTAATTCTAAAAAGAGTAGAAAATTAAATAGTTTTTTTTAGATATGTAACAACCGAAAAATCCAACCAATTTAAATTTTTTAAAAAAACCCGATTTCATTAAATTATTACAAAAAGGTTTTCAATACAAATTATTTAGAGTATTCCCAGAATCGCATTACTACAAAATCATGAGGAGCAGTACGATCACGCCTTCACCTTATCACAGTCTCCTGAAAAACCTGAAAAACATTAAACCACAACTGTAAGCCCGAAAGCTTAGTGAGATACCCCTAAAATACCAACCACATATACCATACACATAACATGCTATCTCATAACGAAATCACAGAACAGCCATGCATATCGGGTCTACTGTGGGACTGGTCCGCCTTGCAGGGCCTTCAGTCCACCTGGTCCACCCTCCATGTCTAATTATGTCCCTCGAGTCTGCAGTGTGGTTGGTCCGCCCGCACTGGGCCTTCAACTCACCTGGTCCACTCTCTGAGTCTACAGTACAACTGGTCCGCCCGCATCGGGCCTTCAGTCGACCTGGTCCACTCTCCAAGCCTCGACACGTCTGGTCCGCCCTCGTTGGGCCTACAGCCTATCCAGAACGCTCACTGGGCCTTCAGAATAACCGGTCCGCCCTAGGTATCTTGACCTACAGCACGAAGCAGGACCCGCCTCAACCCAACTCCAGTCCAAACAACCATGTGCATATAAACATACAATCACATAACAATTCATATTCAGGCAAACCGATCTAGTAGATCACATAACACAACATACTCTAACAGGATACCGACCTAACCGGTCACTAGCATAGCATCATCCTATCTACCAGGATACTGACCTTAACCAGGTCTCTAACGAATACCATCCTAACTACCAGGATGCAAACATATCAAAGCAATAACATAACAACTGATACTCGGATCTCAATCCGATAAAGGGTCGGCCTTGGTGCCTTAGACCCTGTTGATATAATGAGGATAACTCACCTCGAAACTGTCGGCTGAAAGGATAAGATCCCGCTGTTCCGAACTCTGACACGAACTCCTCCACTGAACACCAAAACACTCAACTCTATATATATAATATATATATATATATATATATATATATATATATATATATATATATATATACCCTTAATTACCAAAATACCCCTGGAAGACAACTAGTCAACCTTGGACAAAGTCAAAGTCAACCCTTGACTGACACTACTCGCCGAGTCCTTAAGCTCAGAACTTACCTCAACCCGCGACCTAACTCGCCGAGTCACCCCGAGACTCGTCGAGTCCAACAACTCTGAGTCCACTCGCACCCAACTCACCGAGTCACCCCTTGACTCACCCATTCTCGACTCAACCAGGAAATATTGGGACTCTTCGACAAGACTCGTCGAGTCCAAGAACAGACTCGCTGAGTCTAAGGCTATCTTCAACCTACTCGTCGAGTTGTTCATCCAACTCGTCGAGTTCCAGCTCATCTTCAAGCAACTCGTCGAGTCCACCCTTGTGACTCGCCGAGTACCACTGGTCTGAATCCATACAGAAGCATTCTAGGCCATGCAATTGATCCAAAACATAGATCTAGCCTCCTACAACCCATCCATCACGTAAAGTGGCAAACTTTACGTGAATCTAAAGAGATCTAGGCCTTTGCACTCTAGGGTTTGGGGTTTGGAATAAGATAGCTCCATCAACAACACAAGAACAGGGACTTTAATGCTCTTAAGACCTTCTCCACCTCAGATCTGAGGTAGCAACCTCAGATCTATCCTTCAAACTCAAGATGCCACAAATCTAAGTTTCCCACACAACCCAAAAATGAAGAATCTACAAGAACACAGCCCAAGAACGAGATTTTACCTCTAAAGAATGCCCCAACTGCAATAAAACTCGAATCCAAGCAAAGCCCTTTGATCCAAGCCTCTTCTCCTTTAAGATTTCTTCAACAAACACCTCTCCAAGCTCCAAATGCACTCCAATCTTCCACAATCACGCTTTCTAGGGTTTCTGGACTTCAAGGGGGATCAAAGAGGCTGGGGAGAGGATATAATGTTCTTTAAATAGGGCTCATTCCCCGGATCTAGGGTTTTCTCCACTCAGCACCTACTCGCCGAGTCCCTCTTTGGACTCGCTGAGTAGGCCACTTGACTCGCGACCAAAGTCGCGACCCTACTCACCGAGTCCATCCATGGACTCGCCGAGTTGCCCTTCAAAATTTACACTTTCAGTCCTTCAACCCTACTCTTGCTATTCCGGGATGTGACAATTCTCCCCCACTTAAATTACGCTTCGTCCTCGTAGCCTACGACAACTCATCTCCAAAAATACTCCCACAACCCGCCAACTGGCCTTAACCGGACCCGGTCACTCAAGGATTACCCATCGAAACCTGAACTCACTTTCTCCTTCCTTACGGTGTCCTGACCACCGTCTCAAACCAGGCACTGGTTGTACCCTCTGATAATCGTACTCAACAACCGAGTACTTCCTATGATGCATTACTGCTCCAATTCTCAACAATCACTCGACCCATATGAGCTAGAAAACCATGAACCACCGGATCCCTGATCCGAATCCCACTCTATCCATTCCATGCTGACAGAAGACACACTCTTCAGAGCAACTCCCATGAGTTCTCTTCTTGCAATCGCATGCACATGCTGAACTAGCTCTAGCACCCTCGGGTTAGGAAAACCCATCACACTGACAACCCTCAAAACATTCCTCAGGATGACCCACTGCTACACAATTCCTTCACCGAAAACAAACTAGGAACACAAAACTCCATACCTGCATCCCTTACGAGCCTCTTGGCTTTACAACCTCAGAATTTCCTCCTACGACCTCAGCAGACATCCCCTCATGATGTCATCCCCATACCGCCGCCACGCACGCTACTCAATGACCACCATCGGACCACTCCGATCATAACTCTACACTGTCGCTTTCACTTTCGTGAATTTGCACTCCCCCTTCAGAATTACATTCCTCCCTCTTTTCTTACCAAGGAAAACCACTTGACTGCCTCGTCACCACGACAAGAGCCACGGTGCTCACCCAACGCTACGCCACCTCTTTATAGCGTAACCGCTATCCCATGCACTATACATACTCTGAATCCATTCGAGATGACTCTCAAGTCCATGCACTACCTTCACTGATTGCGATCAATATCCGGGGCCAAACCTTGCAACGCTAACATATCGCGACATACTCAATCCATTACCTCGCACCGATCTAACGACACATGCAGAGTCTTCAGCATGACTGGACCGCCTTACTAGGCCTTCAGTCAAATTGGACCATTCTCATAACCTTCAGCAGACCTGGACCGCCCTCCAGGGCCTTCAGTCTAGCTGGACCGTTCACCGAGCCTTCGGCCTGACTGGTACGCCCATTGGCCTTCAGTCTATCCGGACCGCTCAACTAGCAATCAACAATCTGAGTTACCTCTCCGGGAAAACCTCCCATGCATACTGTTCTAGCCCCCTAGGGGTTCCGAACTCTATCTC